GAAGAACCCAAAGCAAATGCCAGTGCCAAAAATGCTGAGAGGACACGAGGGACCCTAAATTTCCTGGGTAGACTCTGTCTCTGTTATGCAGTGAGTCTTGGGAAACCTTAGGAGACAAGTGAGCCATCATCTCAGTGGGTGGGGTGGAGGGTGTCTATTCTAAGGGCATTCTCCGTTTCTCTTGGCTCCTGTGGTCTGGCTCACGTGAATTCACCAAAGCCACAAAGGGCAAACCTCTCTGGAGTTAAATGAGAAATGCACTCGTAGACCGATAAGCCAGTTGTGCTCTGCACCTGCGGCTTCCAGGGACACCGCATAGCTTAACTTTGCAGATGAGAAGACGTGTCAGGGGCTCTGACGCCTCCATCTGCTTCCCTGCCATGGGGGGAAAGCCTGCTTTGCCCCAGGCCCCCCTCGTCTTCTGCAGAAGCGGGGAGAACATTTAATTGTCATTCCGCATCCACGGGAGTTGAAGAGCTCGCTTGACCTCCAGGCACGTGCTGTGCGTGTACATGTCTCCCTCTTAGCCAGCGTGCTCACCCTTCTCTCCCTCTCTCCTGCTCTTATTATTTCCTAACTACAAAGCCATCTCACCCCTAAGCAGAGAGCAGCCCTCTGTCTGGCACGGCCACATAATGAGGTGTTTCTCATAAGTGGTCTTTCCGAGGGCTGAAGTTTAACTGCTGAGATGACTTGGCAAACATCAGGTATTTTTTTGATGGGCCTTTCTTCATGAGTTAACAGTTTCCACACTTTTTAAAAAGAGGATAATAAACGTACTTTAACCTTTCTTAGTTTTTAAGAATCACTCTGACCGCTGTATTGTTTAACTACAGAGCAGCGCAGCGGTTTGGGGAGTCTTTCCAGCAAACGTCAGGTATCACTTCTGCTGTCGGGAGCCTCTGTCTCGTTGAGATGTGCTTGTCTCAGCTTTTGTAGTTCCAAGAAAATGACAGCTGTCGCATTTATGTGTAAGTCAGGATAGACCATCTGTCTCTCGAGACCTGGGCCTCTTCTGTAAGGAAGAGTGGGGCCGCTGTTTAGGAAGCCAGAGGTCTTTGCTTCTTATTCTGCAGTATTCTTGAATGATTCCTTTGCCTAAGTTTGTGTTTGTTTTCCTTTAAAAAGAGATACTTGTTGAAAAGCAAAGATTATTTCATACAGTGGTGGTACTTTTGCGTATGACTAGCCTTCTACTTCAAAACTGATTTTTTTCTTGTTTTTCATAGCAAACTGGAAGAAGATTTTTTATATATGGCTTATGCAGATATTATGGCAAAGGTAAATAAATATCTTGATTCTAATATTTAGTTTTTATAAAGGGAAATCATTTTCATCTGGCAAAGCATAAGAATCTATGTATTTCTGGATTAAGATTAAATATTAAGTTTTAGAAACTTTAAGGGACACTAATCTGAACATCCCCTTGTTTTATAAATATCTGTTCTGACTTTCTTGACAGGTTATTATTCTTTCTTCCTTTAGCATTTTACTTATGGGGGACTCACTAATTTTCCAAACATTCATTCATTCAACAAATACTCATGAGCATCACAGTATTGGAGACACATGGTGAGTGAGACAGACACACATGCTGCCTGAGTGGAGTCTGTCATCTGATGGAGAAGACGAATCTTGACAGACTATCATAGAAAGCCCTGCCTGACAAGCCCAGTGCAGAGGAAGTGTCAGGAATACTGGGAGCAGGTCGCACAGCTGGCTTAGTCTCAGTTCAAGAGAGTCCTCCACTGTGGAGTGACTGTTGCAGGGTGACCACGTGAAAACTGTAAGAGCTCATGTTCACTGTGTGCTTATTTCATTTAATCCCATAACAGAAGAAAGGCTTGAGGGAGGAGGATGAAAGAGGAGTCCGGTCTCCCTGAAGCCGCTGGCTCGGGCACAGGGCACACGGTGGCACCAGAGGCTGGGATGGGAAACCCCTGGACAATTGCACGCCTAGAGTGAAGAGGAAGGGTGGCAGGTTAGACTGTGGACACGGCGGTGAGGTGGCTGGGCGGAGACCTCAGACGTGTGAGAGGAGGGTCGTGTCCGACACCCACACCTCCCGGCAGGCTTGTGAGTAGGTTGGGATCCATCAGCACAGGAGAGAAGTGAAGGCAGAAGATGGCTCAGCCAGGCAGGGAGGGCAGCACAGTGAGCAGGAGGCCCAGGGCCTGTTCCTCCCAGGCCTCCAAAGACGGGGATGCTAAGAGATGTTAGAAGAAAAAGACCCTTCTCCACAAAAAACAGGAGAAACCTTACATGTGAGCATGTATAAGGCCCCTGGGAGTGTGTGGTCAACAAAATCATACTCTGCTGAGGGGCTGAACACAGTAAGGACTGAAAACTCTCCAGGATTTATCGCATTTGTCGGGTGACGGTGGCGAGCACGGCGGCAGAGGGTGAGGAGATGGAGCAGTAGAGGTGCAGGTGCGGGCGGGGCCGGTGTGGCCTGGACGTCTCCACTGAGAAGACCAGGAGTGCGGCTGGGACGGGGGTGGGACATGTCTAGATGGGGTTGTGAGGTTGGCGGGAGATTGTTTTTTGCTTCTTTGCCATTTTTTACCTTTTTTTTTTTTTTTAAAGAGAGGCTTGAGTATGCTTCTATTCTGGGCCGAAGGACCCAAAAGAACAGACAAAGGAATAGTTTGAGGAGTGAAGCCTTGAGTGGGTGGGAGCAGAGGGGCTGGCCAGATTACAGAGCATAAGCGGGAAGGCCTGGCTCTCCAGCCCCTTTGGAACCATGGCCCGCAGTGAGAGACGCCTTTGCCCAGTGTGTTTACAGAGAGACCAAAGCAGATACCCTGGGAAGAAAGCTCCCATGAAATCGCACCTGCGCCACGGGCGGTGTGGGCTGATACTGTCTGTTCTAAGTTAAAAAGTTGCTTGAGATCATAACTCACTAAGCAGATTTCACGTCCAGTTAATGGGTTGAAAACCATAGTTTAAAGAACATGGATGGAGAGATAAGAAGGATATTTCCTTCTGCGGAAATTGGCCTGGAGGGAAATACTGCGCAGGTAATCTTAAGGAGCAGGGCAGCCATAATTCCTCCGTACCCGACATTAGAGGTACGGTATTCATGGAGGGTTACAGACTTGCCTTCCAGATATGTTTTGTTCAAGTTCTCATGGGCTTTTATTTTCAAAGTGCTGGTTAACTGACGACACGGGAGTCAAGGTGACCTTGGCATATAGCAGACAAGCTCCTGTGTTCTGACGGACAGTTAACATCTTGGTTTCTGTGGTGGAACCCACTCTTTAGCAACCTGTCCGTGCAGTGAAGTTGTCATGGGGCTGTTTTCTCCTTCGCAAACCGCGTGCACATTCTCCTGAAGTGGAAAGGGTGATGCCCGGTGCGTATCTGTTGAATGAATGAAGGAACGGAACATACCTTGTAGAATTTATCACTGAGTTGGGGGAAGGATGACATTTTGTACCCTCGCTCCCATTCCCACTTCAGAGTACCCTGAATCATCGAGTCAGAAGTACTTTCCTGACTTGTAACTTACATCTAACCACTTCCTCCGTGAGCTTCACTGCTGCACTGAGTGTCCCAGCCGTAACAGTCCCTGAGAAGGGCTGGAATAATCGAACTTCGCAGAGCAGCGGCTTCTTCCTGCCACAGGCACCGCTCGCTGAGCAGCTTCCTTTGGCCAGCGTGGTGCTTCTAGTGCCGAGCCACGATGAGAACAGCAGTCGAGGTTTATTACAGGTTACTGTTTCTCAGACACTTGTGCCAAAGTGGCCAGCACTTCACATGCATTAATTCACGTGGTCCTCTCAGGACCCGGCTTCCCTTCTTAGTATTGTCCATTTTACATACGAGGGCGTGGAGACCCGGAGAGAGAAAGGAACTTGCCCTGGGCCAAACAGCCAGTAATTGGCAGGCGCTCTGCAGCCTCAGGCCGTGTTCCTCATCCGCTCAGCTCTGCTTCATCCGGCAAGGTCTTCAGCTGCGGGGATCAGATCACAGTGCCTCACGAGACCTTTGCCATGTCTGGGAAAATGACTCAAAATAATGAAATTGTCAGTGTTACCACTTTGGTAGAAAAGAGTAATATTCGTAGCCGGTGGGATTTCGCTTTCCTCCCTTAGACTAAATACAATAAAAAACTGAACTTACCAAAAAAAAAAGATGACAAGATTCACTTCAATTAATGGACACTGCTTTCCATTAATTTTATTCATGATTATTTACTGTATCTGTATTAATGCCTTATAAAGGCAGCATAATAAAGAGAAAACAGTGATCCTTGTCTTTAAGGCTTGTGATTTGGTTTGAGCAAGGAAAGCGCATGAGTGAGCAGCATGCGCAGCACGACACGGACCTCGTGGATGTCCCCGTGATGTGCGGAAACTGGTAACTTAGCATAAGCACAGCACAGGGTTCCTTTCGGTCACAATCTCGTCAGTCATGTCGTCTAAGCTTATTGTGTGTGTATTTAAACAATATTGGTGAGAAATTAGCACAAGTAATTGGTGTCCCTTGCTCAGTGACCTTGCACTTCCTGCCTCAGCCTGTCCTAACCCTGTTGACCTTTCTTGTGTTCCTGGCACATCAGAGCTGTCATGACGAGGAGGAGGATGACGGCGAAGAGGAGGTGAAGAGCTTTGAAGTAAGATGGCCTTTTCCCACGCCCGTCCCTGTCACCTGGAAACATTGTCTCATAGCTTCTAACTGACATTTATGTTTCTTGCTTCATGGCTTACTGCAGCTTATTGTGTCAAGGAACTGCATGTCACAAGCTGGATGGACGAATCTGAGTCCTCACGTTTGCTGAAGTTAAGACCGAGGGACGTAGAGTAGTTAAAGAAGCAGGTGAAACCCATATGTTCAGGATGAGTGTTCCCGGGAGCCTCGGAGACGAGGCTGCTTCTGTCCTCAGCTCAGTGCGTGTCGTGCTCGGAAATTCCCAGCAGACACGGGAGAAAAATGGTTCCTGAAAAGCAACACGACGTCCAGGGTTTAATTAAACCCTCGGTCTGATATCTTTTCCTGACTCGAAGAAGTCTTAACGATTTGGCCTCTTGCCTTCCGCCCGGTGGGCCACTCATCCCCTGCACATATGTCGGCGGGCACCAGGGCTGCCTGCTCGCGTGAGGCAGGGCGCGGTAACCGAGGGCTGCCTTCTAGTGCACCAGTGTTTCCTCAGGTGGCCTCAGTTTAAATTTCCACGAAATTTGAAATACTGCTCAATATTAATTAGCCAAAGGGAAAGTAAATACTATTTTCCCCTTTTGATTAGACTAGACTTTTGCTTTTTATAAGAGACAAGTTGTTGCTAATTACCACTCCATACTTATTGGTTCTTCTTTTCTTTTTCCTTTTTTTCTTTTTTTTCTTTTTGAATTTTTCAGAAAGAAATTCAATGGAAGGAGGTAGATTAGACATTTCTTTTCTTCTGTTAATTTACATGTCAGCTTTGGAAAGCTAGAAGTCTAGAAATGTATTAGTAGGCAGCAGTAAGTCTTTAATTACAGTGGACCCACCGAGAAGCGTAGGTGAGGAGTAGACATGGAGTCGTGCTCCTTTCAGGGACAGTCTGACGTGAGCATCTCTGAAGCGCTGAAGTCGCTGTGTGAAAAAACCTCAAAATGAACTAATTTGAGAATAACCCATGAGTATCGCTGACTGAGAAAAATGCCGTGAGGTTAATTTCCTGTGTGAACTCTAATCTTTTCTAATGTATGTGTATTCTATTCTCAAATCCATCATTATTGCTGAGAAACTGAGCCAAGTTAGAATGAGCTGTGAGCAGCAAGCGATACTGTCTTCCTGAAGTGCACACCATTTGTGGCCTGTTGGTTGTGTTCCGAGCAGTTGTTTATTGCTCTTTTGCTTCTTGTCCTCATTCTTTCTGAAGGTCACAGGATCGCAGCGCAGCAAGGTAAAACGATACGTATGTGTGTATTTGTCTGGGTCTGAGTTTTAGCTTCTCGTGACATTTACCTTTGTTAGACCCAACGTCTTCGATTCTTTTGTTTAAAAGAAAAATCAATCTCTCTACCAGTTTGCAGCTCCAGTGCAATTGGTCCCTTCAGTGTCCCTTCCTTGACACAGATTTGTTGTTCTTTAGTTTACCTGACTCACGATCTGACACTTTACCCTCTGTGCTAACTCTGAGCTGCCCACGGCCCTGGGATGAGAGTCCACCCTTCAGTGATTTAGCTTTAGCTGTTGACTTCGGTGCTGCGTTCCGGCCTCACCCTCTTGAGGGTCCTCCTGCCGGGCTCATTTCCTGGAGGGCGCTGAGACGTGGCGCTGCTCGTGAGGGGCAGTAAGTCTGCTCTCCCGCCGAGCCTGGCACACCTGCAGTTGGCGTCTAGAGACGCTGCTCACGGTTCCAGGGTCGACTCTGTGTCTCTTTATAGGGAGAACTAGGGGAGCCTTCCTCGCTCTTAACACTCTAAACAGCTACGTCTCAGGGAAATTTGCTAGGACAAAACATTTTTTTTTAACATTTTTTATTGAGTTATAGTCATTTTACAATGTTGTGTCAAATTCCAGTGTAGAGCACAATTTTTCAGTTAATACCTGAAGATACATATATTCATTGTCACATTTTTTTTCACTGTGAGCTACCACATGATCTTGTATATATTTCCCTGTGCTATACAGTATGATCTTGTTCATCTGTTCTGTAGGACAAACATTCTAATCTCGAATTACAAAAGTTTTGCTTCCATATGAACTCTGTTAAGCTTCCATTTTGCATTCATGAGACTATTTAGTAGAAAAATAGATCATAAACATCCCAGGAAGAAGATACCCATTATGACTTTGGTTAAAAAAAGAAAGAAGCCTTTTCAGTTTGGAAGTGCAGTCTTCTTTTTTGCCTTCTATTTTTAAAAAAGTGAAATATTTGCTGTTAAGGTGAATTTAGAATGTCACAAAGAATCTACTTAGAGAAACCAATTGTCATGATTTTTACTCACTATTATATTTGGGGGAATATATTGTTCTTACATGATTTTAAAATTTGAGTTCATGCAGAGGCTATCGGATTTAGCTCTAATCAGATGGACGTAATTTAATGGCACACAACAGGCATAACACTTAGTAGTATTATGGGTTTATAATGATAGGTATGGACAGTGAGATCCTAATGTGTAGATTTTATAGTTTCATCACTAATTGTCTCAGACAGGATTCCTGTGACTTAGTGAGGGTTGAAAACATGGAGAGACCTCGTAACATCCACCAGAGGTTTGATCTCATGGATAGCACTGAAGTTCACGTCCAGGATGTGCACGGAAGGGGGTGAATGTGGAAGGCCAGGATGAGGGGTGTTGCTGGGTAAGAAAACCGTTTTACTTTGAAAGAGGACTGCAGTTTCAGGGAGACCTAAGAGCAAATCCCATTTGGCAAATAGGGTCCTATTTGGTGACGTTAGAAGGTCCCCTATTGAGGCAGGAAGTCTGGGAATAACTAGTCGTGGAGTCTCAGCCTGTGGAGCGCAGGACCCGGGCCGTCCCGGCAGGACTGCATGTCTCGGAGGTGAAACCTGGTGATTAGTCCCTGAAAGGAGACAAGAGACCGGCGAGGGTGACTGTCCCAGCACGAGACCGGAATTTGAATTTGCAGTGATTGCCCGTGTTCACATGTGTAACACAATAGACAAGGTTTGGAAATTTTCACTTCTTAACCGATGTTTTACTGACCCTCCATGTGAATTTCAGACTGTAACTTATTATTTATGCCTAATCCGTGTAACAGTCTACTATTTGCGAAATATGTACTCTGTAAGTAAACAATATGAACCCTTCCCAAGTTGAAAAACAGTCGTGTTTGTCAAAATTGACAGTCGATCACTTACGAAGATAAATTTGTCTGAGGTTGACCCTGTAAACCAACAAAACCACTGAAAGATTTGACCAGACAACTGGATTATTACTTTCTCTTAATAAATTTAATAATGTACCAGACTTTTACATTGAGTTGTCTGGCTGTTTAACATCATTTAGATGCAGTCTGATAGTGGAATTTTTCATCTAAGCTGTACTGAATTCGAAAGGTTGTTTGGCAGCTTCATAATCCTTAAAACAAACTACGTTACGTGAATTTGGGGGTCACAAAATTGTGTGATAATTGGGTGTTATCCCTGTAGCTGGCTGGTTATTAACGTTTGCTGTACCTCCTACTTAAACCTGTGGTATCTGTAAAGATACTGAGAAGGAGGAAGAAGTAGCTGTAAACAGATGGCACTGTAAGGAGAATTCCCGTGAGGAGTAAAAGTAAAACTCGGGAAGCGTGGGGAACGGGGTGGAAGCTGACGCGCCGCAGACTGGCCGGTTCCTCTCTCCTTCCGTCACATGTTTGCTTCCTGGTGTGATCCTGTTGAACTTGCCTGCTTTAAGCTGACAATTTAATTCCCAACTTCATCGATAATCTATGTGTACTTTTCCTACAACTGCTTATTTAAAATTGTATTGCGTATTTAGTTGGTAATTATATGTAGTCTTTTTATTGAGACTGCTTCCATATTAAAACTACAGAAAGGGACAGTGAAGTCTTACAAAGAGGCCAGTACTAACTGAAAGGGAAGAAGCGTTTGAGCAGTCCCCTGAAGTGTTCGTTACTGCACTGGAGCGCTTTGTTTAGCTTCGAGTTTTTCATGAGCCCAAACAAATGATAACAGCAACAAATAAACCGTAATGTGTCAAGTCAAATATCTTCATTTTTCTGAGCGTGGTGGGCTTTTCTCACCTAGAACAATGAGGAACTCTGGTGCCGGAGTAGACCGCATTGTCACATTACGATTTGGCAAAATGCACAGAAACATCCTCCAGATGGCTGCTTCTCCTCCTGCCGCTCTCTCAGGTCTGAGGGCTCAGCGCTAAGGACGATGCAGTGACAGCATTTCTGTGGGATGTTAAGGACCGTAGCATAGACTTACTACTTATGGAAAACCTGAGTGAATGACCATGGAGCGTAAGCGAGCAGAGGTTGACCTTTGACGCGCCTTCTAGACCATGCTTCTCAAGCGCGCAGTAAGGTGCGTTGCCCGCTGGCAAGTGCCCGACTCCTGATCCACAGACGAGACTTCTCCGCTGAGTCCCCAAGGCCCTCTTACTCTGCAGTACTGATTAAAGAGAACTTCTTGAGTCTTACATGCCAAATATGCCTGTGGAGGAGCTGATAGTCTGCAGTAAGAACGTAGGGGACTGGCCTGAATTCTCTCCCAGCTGGGCCTCAGTCCCAACTGAAGTGACAGCGTTCCTGCTGAGAGCTCAGACCGGCGCCCCGCTCGTGTCCCACAGTCGGCGCCACTGAGTGCAGAAGTCCACGTAGGTCCAGAGAGCCTTATGGGCTGATGGCTCTACACAGTGAGAAGACCACCTTTGTCTGACCCCTCCAGTGATCCAATTTTTGAATAGAACTGAATTTTTTGGAAGTTCTCTAAGAATGAGTTGGCCCTGAGAAGATCCCTCCCCAGTAGCTACCTAAACTGAATGGGCTTCTTTACTTCTGCTCATAGGAGCACAGCAGGTTAAGTTAGAGGGGCTTCCTGAATCTTACCTAAAAGAACCATCAAATATTAAAAACTAAAGATACAGCTATGAATATAAAACATTGAAGCAGTGACCTCTTTCATCAAGAACATTTATACTTCTTTAGTTTCTACTGCAGAAGATCTGTGGTATCAAGATACGGACTGGAGTGTTGAGTTGCTTGTCCTACTGTTGAATGGTAGAGGGGAGGGGGAGGGAGCTCTGACGGCCAGTGTTCTCCAGTGCTCGTGCCTGATGCTGCAGTCTGCCCACTGCACGTTCAGATACTGGAATTGGTGATCTCAAGGAACGCCCTCAAGTCTTAGCCCAGGTTCCCTGGAGAACAGAGCAAAGAGGCTGTTTGCTGACACTATGTTGGGGCTGGAGGTGTTACAGTCTCAGGGAGGTAAGAGTGAGGGGCAGAGAGCACTGAAGCAGGGAAGCTGGGAGAGCACAATAATGCCTCCTTGAGCTGACCGCTGACCGCTGACCGCAGCTCCCAGCAGGACAGCAGCCACTCGGCTGTGCCGGACGCCCCTGGGAGGCCGTGCGCATCATGGAGCAGTGCCTCCTGGGAAGGAAGACTGAGCACTTTATCTGCTGGTTCCGTCCCATCTCCTGTCTCTTACTGGTCTGAGGGAGTTCATTTCTTCCTACGTCCTGCTGATACTAAGCAGCTGTTCCAGGGGGACCCCTGGGGAAGCCAGAGCCAGCTCGGGCCCAGCCTGCCCAGGGTCCAGGCACTGCAGTCTCTCCACAGTCATCAGCAGGTGGTCTCCTTACACAGTGGTGTGGTTAGGAGCCAGCTTGTCACCACACTACTGGTGCAAGCCATTTCTAGGGCCACGGTGCCTCAGAAGCAAGGCAGATCGCTAAGGCTTGGAGAGAAGGGGGCTTAGGGTGGGTTGGGGTACTAGTCCCGATACAAGGAAGATTCCATGTACAGCACAGTCCTCTATATTATATATGGGAATTTACGCCTATGAACGTGTGGACCTAAATAGCAAACTACACGGAGGCACACGCTAAAGCATAAAACTGCATTGTGTCCAGTACTGGACGTGTCCACATGACGTCCAGTAAACAGGATACAACAAAATCATTCAGAGCACAGGCACTTGGACAGACCACCTGTGTTTGAATCCCAGCTTCACCGTGTGGCTGTATGATCTCAAGCATCAATGTTCCTATCTATAAAATGAGCCTAATTAAGGTCTCTACGTCACAGGATTGTGGTGACAATTAAATTAGTTGTTACATGTAACGCACTCAGAACACTGCCTATCACATAATGAGCTCTGTAAGTATTCTCTAGTGTCATTCTATTTGATCAGTTTCACTTCCTTACCAAAGTCAGGTCAGAGAAGCCCACAAAGGAGATTTTTCAGCACAGTGA